TACAGTCATGATCTATTTTGTGGGGATGGCTTACATGTACTCTTTTCATGAAAAATTCAAGATAATTTCATTGAGGGGCAATCTGGCATGTACTGAGCTGTAAGAGCTGCTGCAGGCTCTACTCTAGCTCATCTTGCAATAACTTGTTCATGTAAATATACCCTAACTCCTATTCAGGGGCTCATCTCCCAATGAAATAAATTATTTCCAGTGGGAGCTTGGGTGCCTAAATACCTTTGTAGATCTGGGCCCTTGGAACGTTACTTACAAAGTACTGACTCAGCATTATTTTGATCAAAATATCTTAACTCAGTCTGCTTGAATCTGGGTTGGTTGTCACAATCTGCCAAGACAAAGTAAGGTCCATGACTTCCAGGGGAGAAGAAGAATGAGAGAGAGAGCTGGGATCCAGTAATCTGTATCAAAACAGAGGATCCCTGAGTGGAGTCAACCTTGGAGAACTCTAGGTAATATCTATTGCTTCAAGAAATTGTCCAAGGAGTCAGTGGAAACTGTCGAGAGGAACCCTTGCTAGAGGAACACACCCCCAGAACTCAGCAAATTCAGTGGAGCTGAGGACCAAGCCCCTACTATATTTGTACACTGTGGATATTTTAACCAACCTGGGAAAAATAATCTTGCTAGTAATCTTTAAAGGGATATGAAGCAATGATCACATTTTCCAAGGTCTGTCAGGAACAGCTCCTGGCTCAGCTTAATAATTCTTGAAGAACCAACAACATTATTTAGGAATCCATTGGCAAGGAGCCCACTCAATCTATGAAAGCTTTCTAGCAATTCAGTGTTTGCAAATGGTTTCAAGTCAGCTATGGTAACTGAAGAACCTGGAAACTGGTGCAAAAGTCAAGGAGGAATGGGAATACATAGTGGTTTTCTAAACCCAGGAAAGCCAGAAAAACATCAGAGGATGAAATAATGAAAATGTTCTGCCCTTAACAGTTCAAGAAACACATTGAAGCATTCTGCTCTCAAAAGACAACTTCAATCATACTACACTGTACCTGATACTGTCTTCTTTTATGTAGGATTAGTTTAAACCAACTTGACTGAAGCAATTTTAGGCCTCAGTCCTGCAGTTCCTTGCTCTCGATCAGATTGCTGCAACCGCTTGGAGCATCTTTGCACCTGGACTACCATGGAGTTCTACACAGCAAAAAAAGACCACCTGGATTAAAGCTAAAATATCAACATTCAGTAAAAAAAAATTGTTATTCACTGAGATCACTCTAATGTTTAGGAGAGTTTAATTTATTTCTGAATGCAGGGGGAGAAACCCAAGACTCAAGGGAAGATTGCAGTTGGGACAGCGGTTCTCTCCAGAGAACCTGGACAACATTTGGCTGAGTAGGTAGTGCTCACACTTGCTCTGCCACCAACAGACATAGTATGACACTCACCCAGCTCTAATTTTTACCTGGCAGCCCAGTGTCCTTTTTATTATGGGCCCCTCAAGCAGCTTTGATCATATGACTAAACCCATGGAAGAACTAAGGCTGCAAGGCAAGCAGCCTCTTTGAACCTGTTTCAACCCATCTTATTCTAAATATGTGTAAAAAGAAGAGTATAGAAACAAGAAACATAAAAACCCCAGTGGATCTGAACCTGTAAGTCCTTGGGTGGGAAACTCCCACTGAAGTTGCTTCATCTGTTTTGTACAGTGTTTTAATATAGACTATTCTCCCTATACTGCCTATCTTTAATTTTTTTTCATTACCTTATACTAGCAGTTGGTAATTAACTTGCTCACAATTAATTAATCAGCCTTAAAAGTTCCATTTTGCCTCCTTTGCAGGCATATTTCATACAGTGCAATTTGGCTGTGAGACATTGGTGTCAATGGGAGTTCAGAACACTAACTACTTACAGGATTGGTACTATTGCAAAGAAAACTATTGTGTTTTTGGTTTTTTAACCAGATTTCAGGCCCATATTGTGGAAGGAAATTGTGCAATTAGAAAGACAACTACCAAGTACTGGGAAACATGGAAGGAAGCAAAAGAAATAATTTAATTGTAAAACTCCACACAGTATAAATTCATTTCACATTCTGAACATAGTTGCTGACTCCCTGGACAACTTGTGTAAGTTGAGGCATTGTCTAGAGCTCTCCACTTGGTGTTCTCCTCAGTGTTTTCTGTTTGGAGTCTGAACCCCTCCTCTGCTTTTCATCCCTTGTTTCCTTGAGTAAATGAGAAGAGTTACCAGATTCCTGAAGGACCCTCCTCTTGCCCAGATGTATTTGGCTCACTACAGATACATAGCTCCTGATACATGATCCTCTCCTCAGATACAGTCACCTAGCTGAGCTTCCCTACCTAAGAAAAGCAAGGAAAAACATCTGGCCTGATCACTGTCATTGTTTTCCTAACCAGATCACACCTTTCTCTACATGTTACCAGTAACCTCACCCAAGCTCTCCAGCTGCTACATAAAATTATCTGTTGCCCTATAAGAGGCCAAGATGTCTGATTTCTATTTTTTTAATATTCATAACACTGTGGTGTTTAGTATTGGTCACATGTAATGCAAAACGGTTGGAACAAACAGAAGTGTAGAGTTAAACCTAGGGAAGCACGGACTGTTTATGGGAAGCAAAAGTCTATAGAAAGAAAAGGATCGTGATATCAGCAGAATTAAAGTTCTCATATGGAAAAGGCCCATGAAATGTTATAAGGTTGAAATCAGGGGACTTTTATTTCAATTAATTTAACTTGCAGCATGTACCCAATTTTCTACATCATTTTTAAAGTTTAGAGAACTGTATCACTATTCCAGAATATTAATGCTGGTTTATAGTAGGATTTGCATGAGCTATTAAAATATAGAGGGCCTTTCTGTAATAGGCTGAAAGGGTCCCAAGGGTCCTGACTGTTTTCGAAACATATTTACAACACAAAGCAAAACCATAAAGACACAAACATGCAAAGCAATTCTTTATCTGTTGTCTTCATTGCCCTTTCACAAAAGCACCCCCAGACAGAAAGTTCTCCTCTCTCTAACTTCTTCATTTCCTTGCTCTACTGCTCCCATGAATCAGCAACTGAACACTATTTACAACCACTAAAAGACGGATGTTTAAATACATAGCTGGTTCCTGCCTGGCCCACAAGTTACAGCCATTCTTAAGGTTTTTATTTTGGAGGGCCAGCTTGAGCGCCCAAGCAGGCTGAGCGGCTCAGAACTGTTCACAGAGCCTTTAAAGGTGTCCCCTATTTAGAAAGAGTGCTGAGTAGGAAACTAAGGGGAATAAACTAGTGAGAACAAACTAGTCTTTCAAAGCAAAGGAAATCAAAACTGAAATCTGAAACAAAGCACAGGCAAATTAGGTTAACTCCAGCAGTCGTTACAGCTGCCTACCAGAGCTCCTCAGGCACACCTGACAAGCTCACAATAAGAGAAAAGTAATCTCTGTGTCAGACAGAAATTGTTAGTAGCTCAGTTATCCAAAGTGCTATCAAACAATCTTTTCCAAATCAATAGATGCCAGAGATGCATGGATCATAATACTCTTAATGACCAAGACTCTGGGTAGTGAAATGAAAAGTGGCGGGGGGGGGGCAGTAACCAGGGCACCAGTCCTGGACATTGACTCTTGGTGGTGGGGAAGGGTGGTGCACAAAAACAGCGCAGTTGTGCTGCCGGTCCAGCTGCTGCTGCATTGCCACTGATGCTGCCCCACGTGCAGCTACCAGCATGGTGCTCCAGCATTCAGTTATGCCTCTGCAGATCCTTACAGGCTTTTAGGCATCTAACTCCCGACATGAAATAAAAGAGCAGGGCCTATGTCTTGTTCACAGAGAAATGAAGCGGGAGAGAGGGGCATTCTGCTACATTCCCCCAGCTGACCATGAGCCAAACAGTACAGCTGTGACCTTGAGGCCTCCAGGTGGTGGTGCTGCCAGGTCTGTGCAGTAGATGGCTGTATATGAGGCAGAGGAAGAACCTGAACACAGCTCTCCCACATCCTCAGTGACTGGAGTATAATGCAAAAGTGTGCCAGCACCACCTTCACTCTTTTCCAAGAAAGGACTGATCTGACTTGAAGCATACCCAGCCCCCCAGGAGAGGGTTCAAAGCAGAGAATCCCACATGGTGGTAGGCATTCCCCTCCTTGCTGAACTGGGAAGGTAAGTCTTTGGGCACATCTACATTGCATCACCAGGATTTTAAGAGAGGGACACTACCAAACACACCCCAGCCACCCGTTCCTGTTTGCGTGGCCCAAACCCAGAGTGACTTTCCTGGTGGGGAAGTCACTCCAGTGACTATTTAATCATGCTGATGAGTGACGATGACAGAGGTCTTGAGAGCAGCTGCAGGGTGGTACAGGGGGGGAAGTCACTCTGGTGGCATTTCTGGGTTTGGCACGTGCAAGCAGGAACAGGTGGACAGAACCTGTGTGTGCTGGGGAGACACAGCTTTGGAGAGAAAGGGGCTTAAACCACACTCTTCACATGTAGCACAGCCCAGTTCAGGCAGCATTTGATGCTGGTTACAGGTTTCTGTGACGCCCATTCTTGGTGACCTAATTGCCCCTGTGCCCTATATAGGAAACCTCTATCTTCACAACTTGGGATTGTGAATATCATTGCATAGTAAATCCCTAAAATTAAAATGTCACAATACTTAAATTCCCCCTGTGAATGTAGCTTCTAAAAATAAGTAGGATCTAAATGAGAGGCAGGGTCCTGAGATTTTCAAAAGTGGCTGATGATTCTAGGTGCCCAACTTGAGACAGAAGTATCTGATCGCTCTCTGAAAAAGATATGTTTAAGGTTGGACACCCAAAAATGGATTTCTAGTTTTGAAAGCTTCGGCCCTGCTTTTTCCATTTTTGGATAGTAGGGACCTGCTTGGTGAAGAGGAAGAGACTCAAGCGTCCACATTTACTGCAAAATGGTGTATCAGTATGGAATCCTCTCCACCAGGTAGAAAAATCACAATATAGACTGGGTAAAGATTGTAGACTGTTGTCTTACCTTAGGGAGCCTGTACTTTTCTCTTAGATGAACTCGTAGACAAGCTCTCTCAGCTTTTTTGTGTGCAAATGCTGCATCTCTCTCCATCCTGAAAATCAACATGAAAGACAGATATTTTCTGAGTTTTGTCATAAAATACAATGTGACAAGTTCCTTAGTTTGTTCTTGACACTGAACTGATTCCCTAGCCACAGAAAACAGTCAGTATTTGTTCTCTTCTCATCTTATTCTTTAAATATAGCTGTTTGAACACAACAGAAGAAAAGGCCCTGGCAATAGAACACTTTCCAGTAAGTTATTAATCAGCCTCACCATCTCTGTGGAAGGTAGGTGTATGTTATACCCATTTTACAGAGGAAACTGAGACAGGGATCAAGTTATTTGTCCAGAACCACAAATGGACTAAAAGTGGCATTAGAATACCCGTCATTGACACCCAGGCCTGTTCTTACAGCAATAGACCATGAAGCCTTGTAAGAAATGCAAAAGCAAGTCTAATGAAAGACAAATATCATGCCATTATATCTATTATGAATCTCCATGCTTTGATAACAGCTATCATTGGTGCAGTTCTGTGAAATGAAATATATAAGTTCAGATTTTTTCATGATACTCTGACAAGAGACTTTTAGCCTTGATTCTGTAAAACCGTATTGAAAGGAGACCTCTATCTCCACAGGTTTATTGCACATGAAAAAATCTGGCCAAAATGCTGCTTACTCCTCAGCTAGTTGGGGGTTGGACTAGATGACCTCCTAAGGTCCCTTCCAACCCTAATTTTCTGATAGTCAAAGTCTCAGTTATGAGAGGTATTTTTATACATAAAGATACCTCTGAGTCAAATCCACACTCCTTAATCAAAATTCCAGGATTTGGCCCCTAAGCATTATCCTTATAAAAAGTTTACTGTCATCAGAATTAAATGATTTCTCATAGCCTTATTTACAGTCTGCCATTTTAGTGAATCAGGGTGAAAGTGATGTTATTTGATTTCAAAAAGAAGTTGAGTGTGAGCTAGTTAGATTGCTTATGTGTTAACTGTAAAGTGCATCATTCCAGACTTAATTGCTAAGACTTTCTCCCCTACATATTTTAATGATTATTTACAGTTTTGGGGAGGGGTCCCCCATTTTCATTATTTTTTCTAGATTTGGTGAAAACCAGCATTTTGGTTAAATCTCAAGCAGGAGCTTCCAAAGCAAAATGCGTGGATTTAGTCGTCAAAATTTCATTAATTTAAAAACCTACATCCTTATGTGCAATTACTAGTTATGCAGTTATACAGATTCACAGGTGATCCTGTTCATAGAGGTTCATGATAGGGCAGGACAGAAAAAAAGATCTTATGGTTTTTTCTTAGAAAAAAAGTTGTTTCAATGAAACCAACATTTTTTTTCTGAAATGTTATCAAGTTATATGAAAACTTCCACCAAAATATTTCAGTTTTTTTCTTCTCCTGTTTGGGAAAAGAGTAATTCCAGAAAATCTTGTCATTTCAAAATGTCACTTCAAGTTTTTCGTTTTTATATTATTTCACATCATTTCCTGTCATAGCAATAGCAGTACATGATTTGTAGTATAAAGAAACAGTTTGGCATGTTGACAATTGTTGAAAGACGCCAGAGACACTTCAGTATAAAATGTTTCCTTCAGCACTAAGCAGCAGCTGCCCTTAAGGATTTTTAAAATAAAATAAAAAAAAAACAGAATACCTCAAGTCTTATGGGTCATAACATGTTGTGAAATACTACAAATATAACATAAATGAAAATAAAAGGCCCATAAAATAAAATGTAGTCCCCAACATTTCAAATTGCAACCCAAATTTTAAAATTCCAAAGTGAAAACTGTCCCTGATGGAAATTTTTCTAGTATTCTGTTTTATGGAAAATATTTCTTTTTACTCCAATTCAGGGGAAAAAAATGTTGGCACCTCAACATTTTCAGTAAAATGAAAACATCGTGTTCACATGAGCTCTATTTAATGATCCATTTCTCCTTTTTTTAATCCTTCCCTCCTCCTTCTAAGGCATAAGGAGATTGGCCACAGTGGATGATGGGATATTAAATATGTTCAAGCAGTGCTCTTAAGTTGTACTGAAAATACCCTTGGTCACCTAACCGGTGCATCTTGTTCACATGCCCAGGGTCACCTGGAAAGAAACATTCCTCTGGTTAGAATGAGAGAGACCTTTGTGAGTATTTCACTTTCCTCTGAAGCCGAGGTAAATATACCCAGATGATCCCTCCAGGCAATCTCGCCCAGTTGCTTTACTGCCATTTGCAGAGGCCGTGTTCATTGTCACATCCTGGTCTCTCCTGTGTTTTTGAGGATCAAAATATTTGGTGGAAACAAAGTCCTTGGCATCATTACAAGGAATCTGTGCAATACTTGGTACCTCAAGATATACAGGAGGTAATCAACTGAATTCTAGTTTTACACTCTGTAATATAGGATAATGACTTACAGGACCTATTAGGGAACCCTTTCAACCTTGAGCAAATCTTTCATTTGTTCACACACATGTATTCCATGCAGTCCTGACAAACAGTAACTGAAGCATTCTTACATGCAAAGCTGTGTTGTTTGGAGGTTATAGAAAAAAGATGGAAGGCAGGAGGGTCATGGGAAGGATCCTAATCCACTCTGAGCCACTGGCTCATAGCACGACCTCTTTCACATCATTTAACTTTTTTGATCCCTGGCCTGTGTAGCTGCAGCGCTGAGTAAAACTAGGCTGACAGTAAAGGTAGGTCTCTTATTTGTGATCAAGCTTGACAGACACATTTATAACTGCAGTGTCCAGTTCCATCATTCATTTTTTCTGTGTGAATAAACTAAAGTATTCATAACTATAGTTCCCATTTGCAGTGAAAAGAATATAGTTTAGTTATTCACCTGTAATACAGCTTAACATCTAACACTAAACACAAAGACTCCAAAACACCATTGAAAGAACATGATTTCCTTTTTCAAATCCTTGCCCTAACCCTAGAATTCTTGTGTGGCTTATCGTTTTGAGCACACCATCTTTTTTAAGCCAGTTGATTTTTTTTCTTTAATTCTCCCTCTATAAAGTTTATAACAAAAGCGGGCAACATTTAAAATTTAGTTTTCAAACAAATTACATTTGGTTCAGGACTTTATAATGGAAGCAGTATTGCTAAATATAGACCTGGATACTTTAAATTCTGGAAGTCATTAACCTTTCACCTATAATCATCTTAAATGTAGGATTTAGACACCCATTATGCAACTGATCATTAGTGAAATAGATACAACAATGATTTGCAATTCAAGGGTTTCCTTTATTATTTTACATGCCTTAAAAATGATATGTTCAATATCTGTTGTTAATTAATAGTTAAACAATGTTGATACAATTTTATATCACAGAACATGGTCAAGCATTGTAATTATTAGCAAATTAAAATTACTGAGCTGTACCATTTAGTAGCATTGGAGGCGACTAAAAAATGGCATAAAATTGACACGGTTGTGATTAAATAGTGTATGCAAATTGGATGTAGTGTTCTAAAAAAGTATAGACCGTATCACTTTCAGCATTTTAGGATTACAACCTCCTTTAGGACACCGGCACACCTAGACTTAAAAAAATAAAAGAAATTACCTTGCTCATACAGCAACAGAAAACAAAAACAGTTGCATATTAGTTCAGTACATCAAGTTATGTCCCTGAGTGTTGGAAGTAAGAAATGCGAGATGAAGGATGATGCCATAATCCAAAACATCTTAGTATTTGTTTGAGAGAGACTGTACAGCAAAGGCAAAATGCCTTCTGCTAAAGAAGAAAGAGGAGGGAATACTTTTCTGCCTTTTTTTCCAGGGTTCTTCTCATATGAACCAAGTCATCCTGGATAAGTCAGCACTGATAATAAGGGAACGTGTACTCACTTCTCCTCAACCATTTGCTTTTGATATTCTTCATACTCCTCTCTAGTCATTCCTGCTGCTGCAGCTGGGTCAGAAGGACTACTTTCTTCTGTCTTTTCCTCACCTCCACCACCAAGGCCTAAATTCTTTACCTGGCTGCTTAACATGCTTTTCATTAAAAAAGCCATTTTCTTCCTGAGGCAGGGAGAATAAAAAGCAAAAATTAAAAAAAAATGTTCCCTAAAAGAAACAACAAATTCTTCAGCTAGGGAATTTCTACAGCTTCACCCGCTCTTCAAGGGCGCAATGCTACTGAAACGTGGATGCCAAAAACAGTTTGTCAGCCATAATCTGGATTAAAGTGGTGAACTCCTCTTAGTATCTAGAGGCAGATGGTTCAGATTATTCCAAAAATCATTAGATGGAACTATCTACTTTTCATATTAATACCTTAAGCTAATTGTACATAAAAATTCACATTATACCAATAGCATTTTCATTTCTTTAGCTTCAAACGCTCAGTTACATGAAGAGAAAAGCCTCCCTGGGCACACACTGCATCTGAATTAAAGTAAGACCTAGTTGATTAAATGACTCCCCTGGAATTGTAAATTCAAACTGCTGAGGAGAAAATCCTGTTGGACTCAGAAAATCCAACGAGATTTGAAAACTAGGATTCTTCATTAAGCAGAAAACAAACCCAATCCTTTTATCCATTAATATTGTTTTATCCCATTGGACAGGAAGCATGGGTTTCCTTCATCTGCTTTTTCAGGGTTTTAAATGTTTAGTTTCTTTGACAGATGAATGGGTCATTACTGTCATTGTAACTTTTTCCCCCACAGAGGAAGTAAATCGTATCTTCTATTTTTTCCAACATTGTGATATGTTTGTGGTTCCATTGCGTCTTTGTACAGAGAATTACTGACTGGCATGATATGGAGATTTTTTTTATGAAGATGCTTAACCACCAGGTAAGAGAAATGCTTTCACTCAGCTAGATCACAGCATTTTGTTGCTATTCGCCAGTATATTGTCTGGTTAGTGTCTTGTTTTTACAAACCTTTACCCATTCACATGAGTAAAGTCTTTACTCTAGGTTTATTTATGATGTATGTACCACTTTGCTAGACCTGCCACTTACAGTGTAATCTCAGGTAGGGAAAATGTTCAGTATATCTCAATTGTCTTGCATACTTTTTTATGTTTTAATAATAGACTGAGGATAATTGGGTGCAGTTTAATTAACAGTTCTTGAGTTTTGATTATGCAAATGGTTTTTTTGACACTATCATAATTTCATTGGCGATATGGGAGGATCTCAGCATGGCTAATGCCTTAATCTACATTAGGACCTTTCTAATTAAAGCACTCCCTGCTACTAAAAAAAAATAAAGCGCAGGATGTTCGGTAATCCTGGATTATCACCGATTAATCAACAGATTTTAACTTTCCTTTAAAAAATAGATGAATATCACTTAGAAGTGAGAATGTAAAAATCATAATAAAATGGATTTGATCTCCTACAGATAACTAGAATTTTTTTTAAATGTGAAATGGTTTTACAATTATGCTTCATTTTAACATTCTGCATAAATATTGTGAAGGCTCTCTGGTCAGGACCAGTCCTCCTGCAGTGAGGACTCATTCAGCACCTAGCTAGACGGAGCCCCAAATTTAAATCCTCCAATCAGGGAACAGAAACAAGACCATGCAAGTCAAACTGCAACTAATCACACAGTTTGAGCAGAGAATTCTGAATGCCCACTATCAACTTGTGCACAAACTATCAAATAATTCATGGATAAAACATATGTAAAGCTCATTATCCATTTATACATCATGCAAACAGAATGAATGGTTTGCAAAAAATAATCCTGCTTCATTTGCAGGAGTGCTAGTGTATGCATTTCAGCTCTGCCAAGGACTATTCAGCAATTGCATCTGTGCAAAGTCATGTCTTAAGTAAGCATGGATTGCCACAATGCAAATTACTCAGTCAGTAAGAGTTGTAACTAATACCTTACATTATGTTATGTTTCTAAAAAAAGAGGTGTGTTAAATCCTTTACAAAGGAGATATATAGACAATCACAGAAAGTAAATTGCTAATGGGGATCATAGCTGATGTTTAACGGAGAAACACTGATAAAAGTGCACTGTCCAGGACAACTGCATGTGAAACTGAGGTAGGGTCTCTATCCCCAAACTATATCATGAGCCATGTTGTACAGGTTCATGGTCCACTGGCTCTAGACACTTCTCAGAAAGTCTGCGAGTCCCACTTGCACCTGCACACAGGGCCCACAGCACTTGCCAGGGAGGTGCTGCACAGTGCATTGTTCAAAAATCATTCAGAGCCAAGAGGTCTGTCCAAGATCTGCTTCGATTCCTGTCTGAGCTCAACTGCTTAACATGAGCCCCTGTACATAAAACATATCCTTCACTGCAAACTGTCAACTGGCTCTTGTGAGAGCTCCCTCCATTCCCCACTTCTTCCCTTCCCAGCCAAATATAACAAACCAGACTAGTATTAACATAAACACCAAACTTCAAAAGCAGAGGACCAACCTAACAGGGTTCACTTCAATTCTGAGGCATCCTGCACTGTCACGGACCTGTGCATCTCCTTTGGGACTTGAGCACTATGGTCGCTGGCCAATAGTAACTGTATTGGTACTGGGGTTTGTGTCATGTGTATTACTTATGCTGTATGCGACCAATGTTTTTATTACAGAACAGCATAACATCAGTTTAATGAAGGGAGGCAGCATCCAGGACCCTAATTATATGACGGTTTTGTTTTGCCTTGTCTGTATCTTTATATAGCTGCGAGTCCCCAGTGATTCTGACATCTGCGTGTAGCGGTGCAGACATTCTGGTTCTCAGTTTCCTGTTGAACATAATGTCAGCAGGTGATGGCAGTGCTAAATATGGATCGTGGACTGACTTTGCAATCCTCTGAAACAGGCATTTGAATTATTTTTACACCATTTTGCACCAATTTTCTGGAGTGGAAACAATCAGGCCAGCAGTGATATGTCTATGTTGCTACTTCACTGCAAACCACCTGAACCCATGCAAATGCTCACTTAGCTGGTGTTTATAGTTGACATAATCCATTGCAGTTCTTGTGCACTTTTCCAATTGGCAGAAGTTATCCTGGCTTACACTGTTTGCTACAGCATGTGCAGCTCCATGTGTTGTTTTTTCAGCTGCTCTCCACAGGTCTTTCCATTACAGGTTTCTTTTCTTGTAGTACTTTGGGTTTCTATAATGCCCAGTGTCAGAGCACTGCTCATCCTTCATAAATTTTAGTCTGGCCTGGGTGGCTGCTATAGCTGACAGGCTTTCATAGATTTCATAGACATTAGGGCTGGAAGGGACCTCGAAAGTTCATCGAGTCCAGCCCCGCGCCCAAGGGGCAGGAAGTCAGCTTGGGTCATAAGATTCCAGCAAGATAAGCACCCAAATTTCTCTTGAAGGTGTTCAATGTAGGTGCATGAACCACCTCCAGTGGCAGGCTATTCCAGACCTTGGGGGCTCGGACAGTGAAGAAATTCTTCCTTATGTCCAGCCTGGAATATGTACTGAGCTTATTTTGTTCTTCACCCAGCGTTTACTGTATTAAGAAGCATTGGTCTCAAGTGTTACACCAAAAGATTAGGAAACTGAACACACTGGGTTTATCCCTAGCTCATTAACTGAGGCATGTACAAGCATTACATTCCTATCAGGAGAATCATGCTTCTTGCTTCTCCCAGTAGAAGCAACAAGCATTCATTCAATCCCTCCTGTGGGAGACCTGCCCCGTCCAGAAGAAAGATCTTGCAGGTGTCAGCATGCTCCCCTCCTAGTCTGGTCTGGGAGGAGCGGGGAGCAGCAAGGCAGTGTTCCCCACCTCTTCCCCAGACCAGGGACTGCCCAATTTGGGGAACAGACTGGGGCTTGGCCCTGCTGCTGGACTAGTCTGGGAGGGGACTGGAGCAGCAGAGCAAAGCCCTCTACACACACCCCCAGACCAGGATCCCCAATCTGAGGATTGAGGGCTACTTTTGAGAGGCTGCTCCCACCAAGAGAAGGAAGGAGCAGAAGAGCAACTGATCATTGCTCCCCCTGAAAAATCTATACCATATATAATTTTCCTTAGTTATGTGGGGCATGTGAAGTCTTAGATATTCAATCTACCATGCTCTCATCTTCCCTGGAGTTTCCATAAAACTTATTTCACTGTAGGGTGGAATCTGAGGAATTTTATCCTGGATCCCAAAAATTGTGCATGCTGCCATACCTGATGTTCACAGTCTGGCACAGTAGGATGGGCAATTCTTGCAATGCAGACTAAAAGTCCCCAGAGCCCATCCTGCCCCTCTCTGCCTGCCTGTAGGCTTAATGCATGCTTGTGTAGCCCAAGACCCAGGTGCTGCTCACAGTTCTGAAATACGTGTGTCCCCGTAAATCTGTCAGCAAGCATAAAGCCCCACATGGGAGATTAGCTCCCCAGCACTAGGTTCCCAACATGCTGGGAAAGGTAATGGGCTTGCAGGCACTAAGCTCATCTCCCATGAAGGGCTCCCTGTGCACCAACAGATTTCAAGGAAGTATGGGCAGCCCAGTACAGTACAGTCACTTCTGAGGCCAGGATCCCCATGCTCCCTTGGAACTACTATCTTATACACCCAAATTAAAGCATGATGCAAACCAGCCACAAAGATGTGCCACATTCAATGACTAGCATCTTTGGGCACTTATACACATGCTCTGGGTTGGGGGACTGGTGACTTTTTAATTAGAGTGGCTCTTGGAACCCACTCTAATTAAAAGGCCCACAGAGTCTCATGTATTCAGAGTCTCATTTGACAAGCTTTAATTAAAGCACTTCCACTGCCATTTTGAAACAGTGGAACACTGAATACACAAGATGCTGCAGCATGTTAGAGCATTCTGATTAGCTATGGCTCTACCACATTCTAATCAGAACATGTGTAAAAGTGCCCTTTCTGTCTGGTTCACCCTTTTTATCACATGATCAATTGCTTGAAGGTCTAATTTCATAGAATGGGGTGAGAGACAGTGTCGATGGCCTTCCTAAAGTCCAGAAAGACTATATCCACCATGACACCTGCATCCAAGGATTTTGTGACCTGGTCGTAGAAGGCTATCAGGTTGGTCTGACAGGACCTGCTCCTAATGAACCCATGTTGGTTGCCTCCTAAGCATAATCTCCTGTACTAGTCCCTCGCAGAGGTGCTCCTGAATAATTTTTTCAAAGAGCTTCCCCAGGACC